CCCTGTCTGCAGCAGGCAGGTCCTGCTGACCCGGCAGCTGCTGGTGGTCAAAGCAGCATCTTCCCACCCCAGCGTACTTTCTTGGGATTTCCTGACTTGAGGATTCCCCCAAAGCTTTTGCCTCTTGGGAAAGGTGTAGGGGGGAGCCTGTGTTTTGCTGTGAGGCTTTTTTGTTGCTGCCATTTGCTTTTTGAAAGGAATCCTTCATTTCCTATTTTGGCAGCAAATGGAGGAGATCTGGCGCGAGATGCGCTGGATTATGGATGCCCTGCAACACGCCCGGTACAAGCAGCCCTCCTGTGGGGTGTCTCTCAGCGGCTTCCTCAGCGAGGCCGGTGGTGCAATGAAGGAGAAGACCCGATCCACCTCGTCCCACCTTGACTACCTTCCCTCCCCGGCACCCTCGCCAGAGACCAGCTGTAAGCTCAACTCTGGTAAGGACCCAGCTTTGTAAAGCTCCTGCCTGGTGGGCTCAGGGGGCTGCCCGTGCTGGGGGGAATGGGAGGGCTGCTCTGGCTGGCTGCACCGTGGGGGTGTAGGCAGGGCTGGCGTCAGGAGTACGGGCAGGGCAGTCAGTCTCGGTTGGGACAGGACCTGCTCTGCCTGTGCCTTGGTGAGCACAGCACCGGTGCATGGCAAGGGGGTAAATGCTCGGGGGCTTCCTCAGATGCCGTCTGGTGCAAACCCTCAGCTGGGGTTGCTGCCAGCAAGGCTGAGCCTTTCTTTGCTTCTCTTATGCCCCTCGCAGACTCTCACGGGCTGTCGGATGAGGAGGGCTCCTCGGAGGTGTTCCTGGCCACTGACAGCGACTACGACTCCAGCAGGGCACAGAGCCCGAAGGAGCTTGACCTGGTGTACTCCTCCTCCGGGCTGGAGTGCTGCAGCAGGAGAGTCGCCCGCACCCTCCAGGACAGCGCCCCAGACGTCCTGCAGACCCACGAGCTCAAGACCCCACCGCCGCCGCCACCGCCGCCGGAGGAGCCCCGGCCGTCCCCCGAGCTCTACGACAGTGACTTCGTCCTGCCCAGCCGACAGATCGAGCTGCTGCGCATCACAGAGAAGCGGCAGGCGTACTGCGTTCGAACCAGCAGCCTGGACTTCCCCAAACCGCTCTGCCAGGTGGCCAGAAAGTCCTGCCCTGGCTCCGTCGACAGCTCCCCGACGGAGAGCAGGACCGCGGGCCACTGCGGCCAGCTCAGACTGGGGACTGGCTCAACGCCCAGCCCCGAGCGCAGCCAGGGCGGGCAGGGCTCTGAGCCCGTCTTCCGGACACGCTCAGCCGAGTGGACTCAGAGCTTCCAGGAGCAGCCAGAGCAGCCCGGGTGCTTGGCCGACCGAGGGAAGAAGCCGGGCTCTGTCACCTTGCGGGTCTGCCCGCAGTACGAAACCGGACTCTCCAAAGAGACCAGTGTCAAGGTACCGGAGCCTGCAAAGGGCAGTGTTGCGGCTCTGCCGTGCCCAGATGGGAAGGGCTGGCAGGATGGGGAGGCAGGCAGCGAGGGCTCACGTGCCCCTCGCCTGGCCCTGCCCTCTCCATCCCTCACCACCTGCGGGCGAGGTCCCCTGGAGACCTGCAGCACTCCTGCCCTGCGTCCCTTTGTCCCTGCAGTAGTGATGAGGCTCCCGGCAGCGCGGGATGGGACGCGTGGCTCTGCGGGAGCAATAGCCACTGCTGCGGAGGGGGCGAGCCAGGGCCGCGGGTAGGGTATTTTTGGGGCACAAGGCAGTGGAGCTGTGGTTCAGCTCTCGGTCCATGGTTCAGCGGCTGACAGTAGGCTAGTGCCAGCCAGGGCGAGCAGGGAGTGAGCAAAGGTCCCATTGATGGGTTTGCCTCGCCACATCCTGTTGTGGCAACACACATCAGCCTCCTGGACGAAATGCAGCCGTCACCCCCCTGCCCTATCCCCGGCCCTCCCACAGCCTCTCCTCCCCGGCTCTCTGCTCCCTGCTCCCTGCCTCCAGCCCTGTGTGCCTTTGGGGAAGGGAGAGCAGGAGCCATTCATCTCCAGCCTGTGAAGCTGCCGGCGTTGGGGTCTGCTGGAGCCGCTGCGTGACCTGGTTCCTCCTCGCGAGGGTTTTGCTGCTGAGAGCTGATCCCCCAGCTCTGAGCACCCTCACCTGCTCCGGGTGGGATCCCCCATGGAGGAGGACCCCCAGGGCACATGTCTCGGGCAAGTCCCCCTCCAGCTCTGCAACCTCCTGGGCTCCCAGCCACGAACCTCTTTCCCCTGTTGAAATTTCTCTTCCGACATCCCCAGTGCCCAGAGCGGAGGCTGACGGAGCAGCCCGTGCACAGCCTGCCCATGAAATGGCAGAGGAAGGACAGAGCCGACAGGCTGATGGGTTTTATTGCTGAGGAGTTTTGATAGCTGGTTTCTCCGCACCCAGCGGGGATGTTAGAAGCAGAGGGGAATCTGACTCGCAGTATTTATTTTTCATTTGAGAAATTACCATAGATTTCTATGCAACTGAAGCACAGCCCTTGGGTTCCTGGCGGGCTGCCCACGTGGCTTTTGAAGTTGCAAAGCTCTGGACACGCCTGCTTGAAAGCGTTTTACGATGTTCTTCTCGAAGAAAGCCGAGTTCAAAGGAAAGTCTCCTCGGCTGGCATAAATCAGCTGAGCCCTGCGATGATTGTTCAGAGCTGGCAGGGTTCACATGGGCCGAGGGCTCGGACCACCCTGCCGGGGCACTGCTCACGGCGCTCGGCAAGCCCTTACGGATGTGCCAAAGGAAACCGTCGCCTTGCCCGGGCGAGGATGGATGTCCCGCTTTAGGGCCTTTGAAGTCAAGTAGCAGGCTCCTGATGGTCGTTAGCAGCCAGAGCCCAGATGAGCTTGTTTTCTCAGCCATAGTTGGGATTCAGAGGGCAGTCTGCAAGAAAGCAGAGAGGGAGAGCGAGGGTAGCTGTTGGTGGGAGAACCCCGAGCTTGTGAATGGGACGAAATGTAGCAGCGCTTCCCAAAGAAGCTTCAGCTCAGCACCGCTGGTTTGGCAGAGCTGTTGTGGTTCAGCTGGTCTGACGGTCTGGATCCTGCTCGCGAGAGGGACTTTACGCAGCTGCCTCGGCAGTGCCAGGAGCAGGGCTGGGGCTGAGCCCTCTCCGGCCGCAGGTAACGGGATGGTGGGGCAGTCTGAGCGGAGCGGGCGAGCCGTAGGTGACACATGCAAGAGTTGAGCTGTAAGGACTCAGAGAGGGCAGTGGAGGCAAGAAAGTGATACACGAGTTGGCTCCCCGACACCTTCGGGGCCGCTGTTCCTCCACCCTAATGATCACCGCTGTAGGACACGCCGTGTGCTGCCTGTGGCCTCCAGTTCCTCTTTGTTCCTCCCCCTTACCATCCACCTCTTCCACCTTTCTTTTTCCACAGCTGCACATCACCAGCCAGACGTCTGCCAGGGAGGTGGTGAAGCTGGTGGTGCTGGAGATGAACGACGTCTCCCGCGGCGTGCTGGGCGGCTCGGCCGCCTTCTGCTACGGTGAGGAGCAGCTGGAGCACTTCGGACTGGTGTTCGCCTCCGACGAGAGCGAGCGGTGGCTTCCTGATGACTTCTTGCCTCTGTCCCTCCAAACTAGCCGGCCCGAGGGGCGGTTCTACGTCCGGATCAAGGAGACGTCCCCTCTGGTGCTCCAGTACGGGCCAGCCACCACCGTATGAGGGGAGGAGAGCCGGCCGGGCGGCTCGGGGACCTCAGCTTCCAGAGAGCAGACAGCTCGTCTCTGATGCTTCCTTCTTCCACAGACACCCTCTCATCAGGCATCTGCGCGGTGGAATGGGATCATACTGGGCTGTGTGTTATTTGTTTGTGTTATTTTTTATTTTTATTTTTTTTTTAACCAAAGAGACATCGAGACTCAGTTTTTCTGACTGCAGAAGAGGAGGGTGGAGTGCGGAGACCTCAGAGCTCGGGAGGAATCTCTGCAGGAATGGAATTTTTGAAAGTAAACATTTTTAAGGGGAAAGGGGGGAGAGAGAGGAAAAATATTACAAGAAGAAGCAGCAATACCTGTTTTTTTTTCTTTCTTCTTTTTCTGAAAAGCCTTGTTTGGGATTCAGTGAAGGCAAAGCCACAGAGGATTGCTGGGGAGGGTTGTGGTGTCAGTGAGGAGAGGGCACAAGTCACAAGGACAGCACTGAGAAGGGTGTTTTCCTATCTGCCCTCCTTTCACTGTACCTGGAGAAACAATTCTTGCACATAGTTCTTGGAACAAAACGATATTATTTTTTTCCTGAAAAAAAAAAAATAATAATAATTGTGCTAGAGACACTGGCGTTGTGTAAGAGGTGAAGACCCTTTGACTTGTTTTAAAGGCAAAAGGACCCCCCGCAGCCAGCCCCGCGCACGCACAGCCGCACACGCAGCTGTGCGGATGCCACCACTGGAGGTTTGCCGTGGGGCATCTGCCGCACCGCCCCGCGCACCACCCCGGGATTTCCTTTCCTCCTCGGCTGCCGTTTTGTTCTGGTGATTGTGCTTGGCCTCTCTCGTATGTCCTATAGCATGACATTTTGTTAGCCGCTAGGTCTCTTGTTAACAAGGTTATTTTTCTGATCTCCTGTGGTCCATAGTAAAGATGACTGCTGCTGACTGCGTATCACTCTTTTCCTTCTTGCGGCTTGATGTGTAGCGTTCCTTCATCCCCCAAATTAGCCCTGATTTCGAGGGCTGCATTCATCTTTCCCAGCAGCGTTTAATGGGATGCTTTCCACCCAGCAGAAGTTTACATTAACACGCAAATCGCATGTGTGGGAGCGAAGTGCAAGTTAAAAATGTTTTTCTGGGCTTTGTTGCTCTGTAAGGCAGTAAAATAAGCTTTGGCATGCGAAGGCAGTCACCTCCATGTGGTGTTGGAAACCTGATGGTTGTAGGGCCTGAGCAGCTGCAGTTAAATGCATTAATCCGGTCCTGCAGCCTCCACCGAGGGGAGGACACCAGGAGAGGAGTGGGGCAGGCAGCGAGAGCTCACAGCTGTATTGCAGCTGGCGCAAACACTTGGGAGCAAGCGGCAGCAAGCAAGGTGCGAGGCTGGCGGTCCTTCGCGTGGTGAGGCTTGTGTCGCTGCTGTCCCCTTAGCAGCCACCTCGCTCCCCTTCTCTCTGCGTGGAGGGGCTGGGGCTGGGCAGCAGGCGCCCGTCGCTGGGTGCCGGGGTGGAGGCAGGGGCTCTGCGGGCAGCCGCGCAGGGTCTGCCTGCCCACTGCCGTCACCCCTCGGAGGTTCATCGTTCCTCGCCTTGCTGCGGAGAGCCAGCGGCACGCTGTGCGGCGCGGGCAGGAATATATCCCAGCACGAGCCCTTCGCTGCCCCACGTCAAAGCCCCACTGGAGGGGAGGATCGTGTGCCAGCCCCCCAGCTGGTGCAAATCAACGGCACCGCATTGACGTCAGCGCAGACACCGCCATGGGACGTGGAGGCGAGCGGCAAAGGAACATTTAAAAAGCACTTCGCCCACCTCCGTTCCCCTTCGCTTGTCTCCTGCCTCAAGTTAAAACCAATCCCACTTTCCCAGGTCAAGGAAGAAGCAGGTTGGTGAGTGTAGAGGCTCCCATGGAGTTTGTCCTTGTTGGACATCCACGGGCATCGACATCCCCAAGAGGCAGGAGCTGCGGGGTAGCCCTTCCCTAGCAGGAGCCTGTTCACGTGCGTCACCTCCTGATGCTTAGAGCCTGGGGCAGAGGAGAGGGAAGGCACAACTGGTGGAAACTGTTAAGTGGCTTTCTGGAAGTCACAGAGTGAATTCGGTATTAGAGCAGGGCTACGTACAGAAAGCTACATCTGTGTTCCTGATGCTCTTGAGCACGGATCCGTGCAACTCTTGCTGCCCTAAATATAATACATTATATATATATAAAACATTATTATTTTATTTGACCCCGGAGGGGAAAAAGGCCTCCCCTTTTCTTAAGCAATAGTTCTCCTTTCCTAGAAGCCCTGCTCCATCAAGAGAGATGGAGCAGTGACCCAAAGCCGGGCGCTGACTTTTTGGCCAGGGTGGACATGGGGCAAGCTCCGCAGCTAGACCCTGCTGGGACCTGGTTACCCACGTTTCTTGGTGCAGAGCCGTGCCCATGGGAGGATCTCACGGGGCGTGCAGTGCTTTTCTGCAGGAGTTTCTCTGGCTGAGTAGCAGGATTTATCACTTGGCTGCAGGGCACAAAAGCAGTACGTGGTTTCATGGGAGCTCCTCCCCGTGCCCGGAAGAAGGAAAGAGCAGGGGCCTGGGTTGAAGCAGAGTTGGATGCAGTCGGAGTGGGAAGGGTGGGAGTTGCATAGCAGTGGTGTAGGAACCACCAGGGGCACTGGGATGTGTGAAGTCCTGATGGAAGCTTCACTCCTGCCCCAAGCACATCTTCAGCTCCATGAGATGGACTTTACAGACACGTCTGCTCTGCCCTGGTATTTACCGTGATAAGGTGGGACTACCACGAAGAGCAGAGCAAAGAGGGCCTGGGTGAAGAAGAGGGGTTTCTGGGGCAGGCTCTGCTGCACAATGTTTCTTGAAGAATGGCACTTGCAAGGTGGTTCCATCTTTTCATGTTCTTTTCTCCCTGGGTGGCTTCATGGGCACATCCCAATGTTTTCTTTCCGAACAGGTCTTGAAGGTCTTCAGACCCTCCTGTCCTTCCTCATGGCCAAGGAGTAGGAGCAGAGACCACGTAGGCTCTGTATGCGGCAGTCTATAAGGCTATAATCTCAGTTCTAAGGGCTGTGGGGAGCCGATGTGGCTGGGGGAACAGCCCGGAGACCTAAACTGTTTAAATGACAGGTGGTGTTTTTTCCTGGAGCCATAAGCTGTTTACATGAAGGTTGGTTTTTCATATTTGAAGGCTATGTCACACGCTCTCTTAAGCAGGATGGCATTATAGTTAAGACTGGGGCTTAGCAGCTCAAGGCCCTAAGGGGCACTGAGGCTCTGGATTAGGCGGCTCAAGCTTTGCTCTGTCACTTCTTCACCCCCCCGTGCTTTAGTTGCTTTCTGTTCCCTTTTTTCTCCAACCCTGAGCCATTCACCTAGCAGCAAATGGCCTAAGCAAGGCTGGTACAGGGCTGAAAACCTCCCACCAGCTTCAGCATCGCTCTCTGGGCAGCTGGCGTGCTGTGACAAGGCGTTGCCATCAGGCGAGGAGGAGCCAGGGCAGTCGTTCTCAGCAGCACCGGGATTAACAGCGTTTGCCCTGGTAGGTCTCCTCGCACTGGTGGTAGAGGTTTGGTGAAGGGGCGCTCTCAGTGGGGATCAGCCTGGCACTGGCTCCGGTGCGTGCACCGTGGCACAGGTGATGGAGGAAGATCCCCAGAGCACCTGGCCTCAGCCCGGCTTTCTCCTGGCACAGGGAAGCGGTGGAGGTAGAAAAGGAATAACTTTGCTTGTAGCAATCCCTTGTGTCCAGTATTTTAATGAGCAAAGCAGGCAAGAATCCAGGAGGGGCCCAGGGAGACAGTGCCTGCACAGACCTGCATCACCAGGCACAACTTCACCATCCCTGCAGTGCCTGCGTCCCCAGTACTGCCAGCCACAGGCACTCCCACTATCCAGGCCCAAACACCACTCTGCCTGTACCTGTGTGCACCCACCCGTGTGCCGTGCACCCACCTGAGCCCAGGTGAGCACCTCCGGCACGCACTAACCCCTCCGCACGGCGTGCCACCCAGACACCCGGCACGCACACACCATCCCTACCTGGGTGCTGTACACTGACCTACCCTGGACAACCCCACATCCTGGTGGATGGGGCATCCTTAAAAATCCCATCTGGGTGAGGGCAGGTATGAGCAATGCTTACCTGGGAGGTGGGGCAGAAGCAAAGGTCTGGGAGACACTGAGAGCAGCCCGTTGTGCACAAACCTGAGCTCAAGAGGAAAGCTTGCTGTGCCAACACTGCTCGTCTCCTCCTGACCTTAAGCCAACAGCAAACCAAATGGCTCCAGGGTTTCCCTTCCAGCTGGTTTGAGGGCAGCAGCGGGCATCGCATGGGGATGCGTCTCCTACCGTGCCTGGGAGGCAGGGGCCGGTCTCCTCGGCTGGGATGTGTGGCCTCCTCTTCCAGGCGCTGTGGAGCACCAAAAGATGACGCTGCAGAACAATTTGTACTTTGCGAGGGTTTTTTCATCTCTTTGTGAACATCACTTCCGTCACTAACAGTGTTTAAGTGCAGATCAGAGTTATTAGTTTTTGCTGTTGGCGACAGGCAAAGCCAAATATCAGCTTGTCCAGTCCAGCAGCCAGGTCTTCTGCTCCCTCTGCTTGGAGGTAGAGCCAGGTCCAGAAGCTCAGCAGGAGAAAACTGGCATACTTCCATGAAGGTTAATGGGAATGCATTAATTTACATCACCAGAAGAGCCATCCCTGCATGGTATTTTGCTCACATTATATGGATTCACAGAAATAAACCTGGATTGTGACACGCTGAATTTCCTCCCCAAAATCAGGAGCTTGTTGGCATCAGTTCTAAAGCATCTGCATTTCTTTTCTCCCATCCAAAGGGAGTTGCTCAGTTTATCAGACACAAATCCAGCTTTGTGTTTCCCAAGGTTTGGCTCTCTGAGTCTGACGTGGGGGGGTTTTGTTGGATTTTTTTTTCTTTTTTGCCTTTTTCTTTTTTCGCACCCCCCTTTTGTTCCCTGGAACGCTTCTCTCGTGTTCCTGCTTTGGAATTTCTTTCCTTAGTTCTGGTTACAGGGGAAAGCTGAAGAGCTACCCTTTCTGTAACGCATCTGCAATGTCCACGGAGGAGAGATGCTCTGAGCCTCAGCTTGTTGAAGTCAGTGGAAGCCTTCCTTCCCTCAAACAGGAGGCGAGAAAGCGAGCAAGAGCCATGCCAGCCACCCACAACACAGTGGAAGTTCCAGGGCTATTCCAGCACATGCAATTACTAAGTTAATTATTGCTCTATCATCTGTAGGAACTCTGTGCAGTTACATGGACTGTTTACCCACATAGCTTATAAATAGAGTTGCCGTATAATTGAAATGTGGTGGTATCGGATTTATGCCGGGTGAATCAAGGGGTTGCTGAGTGCCCACACTTTCCATCCCCGGCACAGATGCCCACTGAGGATGCAGCTTCGCCGAGCAGCCGCTGAGCAAAACACTGTTGGCCTGCGGCTCG